AGGTCATCCGCTACCAAACGAAGCCGGCGTAAAAAGGAGGTTCGCTAAAGTCCACCACCTCCGATGACCGCTAGGCACTGAGTCTAAACTCTTGTTTAAGAAGGGTCAGTCTCACTAGTGAGAGACATGGTTAATACATTTTTAAACAGAAGTCACTACGGTGTCATCAGCTAGAATCAGCACTTTGGGTCTGTGTGCTTCTTCTTTTGGAGTTTTTGGCTACAGAAAAGGACAAACTGTTCACAAACAAGTGGGATATATATATATACATACATATATATATATACACACTGGGGGAAATAAGTATTTGAGCCCTTGCTGATTTTGCAGGTTTGCCCACTTACAAAGAATGCTTATTTTTCCTCATCAGATGGTTATCAATTTTTATAAATTCATATGACGTGATTTTCTGGAATTTTCTTTGGGATTCTGTCTTTCACTGTTAGAATGTACATATGATTAAAGTTATAGATCGTTCCATTCTTTGTAAGTGCGCAAACCTGCAAAATCAGCAAGGGGTCAAATACCTATTTCCCCCACTGTAAATATACATATATATATTTATATATTTACCTGAAGGATTCAAGTGTTTCCTAATACATAAGTACCACCACTATCTCTTACTGAAAGCCCAGTGTGTGTTTACTGTTTCCATTGAGAGTAAATCTTTTTTTTACTCTATTAACCAGAATGCATACTGAATTCCAGCCAAACGAAGGTTCAAAATGCCGGCTTCATGCAGTCTTTTCCAGCCAAACAATGTCCTTCCTCTCAGCCTGATTGCTGGATTATCCAGAAAACAGCATGTGGATGCAGTAAAAGAACGCGTTAGCTAATCGCTAATGCGCTAAAGTAAAGACACCTGAGAGGCGTCTGACCTGGACAGGATTGTAAATTACATTATTTTTTCTTTTTTAAACAAGCGTTTGCCGTCAGGGTGCTCCAACCGTCGACTGATATCCGTTTGTGTCCGACTTCTTTTTGGCATTATGTCCGACTTCTTTTTGGCCGAGTCTGTCTCAGTGCTTCTGCAGAGTCTCAGTTTAGGCCACAGTCAGCAGAAATTCTATGAAAGGACATAATCACAATCACAAAAAAACAATCACTGAGGGCAGTTTAGAACAGGAGAAATGGACCCAGACCTTACTTATAATGGGCTTTAATAATAATTCCATAGTAAATTCACATCCCACTTGAGTCCAATTGGAGAGGAACATCTGCTAACAGGTCTTCCTCTCTATTCAGAATTAAAAAAATGAATTTTTCTCAGGCCAAAGCAGGCCTCACCTGATGCTGTTAGCGTCTAAGCTAACTCTTGTTAGCTTAGAGGGGTAGAGCCATTTGGAAACACGGATTTGTAGCGACTGATCTGACTACTCAGTTATAAACAGGGTCCCACTTTGGTGGGATACCGAGCATGAGACGGGCAAGTTCTGACCTGCATCCGTACACCCGATTTGGGTAGAAATCTGATTCTTGAGAAACACCACCGTCCCAACAGACCTGAGCTTTACACTAGAATAATTAGTTTGCATGGATTCCCCCACAGGAAACCTTCCATTTCAGTATTATAAGCCCAGAAAAAATAAAATGGGTGGATGTTGTTGCAGATTGGATAGACTGACAATTTCAGTTTTTTTTTTCTTCATATGATGTTGAAGGGCCAAAGAAAGACTTCAGACTAAAAAAATCCAATATTCTTCCTATTTTTCTTGGATCAGGCTTTGAAGGGTTAATGTCATTTTGATACTTTTGATCCACTCTGGTTTACTCTCAGGTTTCCATCTAAAGAATCGGGATAAAACTATAGCTATATTTCCTAAACTTATGGGGTTTATTAGGTCAAATGGAGCCGGTTAAATGGCCGACGCGCCTCCTTTTACTCACAGAACTGACGTCGCCATCTTGTGTCAGCATGTCGATCCCCGCCAGCTGCTCCAGGATCAGACTGCTGTCTCCCATCTGTCACAAAACACCAGAGATGTATAAAGTACTGGAGTAGAAGTACAAGTACTATATTAAAAAATTACTTGAGTAAAACTAGAAGTATTTTACACCATACAGGTAAAAGCCAGTAAATTATATTTTGAAAAACTTGATTTATTTCAGTAATTGCATTCAAAAGTTGTAACTTGTACATTATATTTATTCATTGCACACAGACTGATGCATTCAAATGTTTATTTCATTTAATTTTGATGATTTGAAGTGGCAACAAATGAAAATCCAAAATTCTGTGTGTCACAAAAGTAGAATATTGTGTAAGGGTTCAATTTTGAAGACACCTGGTGCCATTTTTGAAATATTCTAATTTTGGGCTTTTACCGGTATTTAAGTGGAAGTGCGGAAGTACTCAATTTTTTTGGTACTTAAGTGTTGCAAGTAGAAGTATTTCAAAAATTGCTACTCAAGTATTGAAAGTACAAGTATAAGTAAAAGTGCAATACTGTGTATATTTAAAAAAGGCAGTCAAAAGTGTGATAGATATTGTTTATATTATTTCAAACGTGTGAAAGGCCATACAGGTGTTTACAAAAACCAGAAAACTACATCTGCATTAGGAATCAACGCCACTTATATACTATTATTTATTATTCCAGAGTCAGAATCCTGAGCTGAGCCTTTATGCTAGCATGTAGCATACAGCTAGCCAGCTAGGTTAGCTTTAGCTAACGTTATCATACAGCTAGCCAGCTAGGTTAGCTTTAGCTAACGTTAGCTGAGTGAACAGGGAGAACTGAACTAGCGCTTATTTACTAGCTTATATGTCATTGTATTTTTAACTAACCTTGATATGCTTCTTCAGATTAGATGGGGAATTTTTAAAGGCCATGATTTCGCAATATTTCGGGAGACTTTTTTTTATAGGATATCGGCCAATGAGGAGCCAGCTTCCCAAACCTTGACAGAGCTATCTATCATTACGTTTACATTTCAGTAACGAGTAACGATTCAGCCCGTGAAAAACTATTGGAGTAAAAGTATTAAATTAATCAAAAATATGTAGTGGAGTAAAAGTAAAAGTAGGGATAAAAAAATTATACTCCAATAAAGTACTGATACTGGATTTTGGTACTTTAGTACAGTACTTTAGCTCTACTTCGTTACTGAACATCTCTGCAAAACACCCGGTCGGCCTCACCTGCTCGTTCATGGAGTTCATCTGCCCCGACAGCGGGTTCACGCCGCCGCCG